GTGTGCCTAACCGCTACACCACAGAAGCGATAGAATCTGGTCGTACCACAACATAACCAAACAAAAGAAATAGATAGTAAGTAAGTTTATTCAGTGTATGGCCCTTATCATATCACATTAAATCAATTAGTTAAATAAAGTTTCCTTTATAACGAAAAAGTACAGGTTGTGCAGATGTCTCTTATCACGGGTCAAACATTGCATATTTCTGTCACTGAGCCGAGTGAGGCTGGGAGGAATTAACAATTTATTATAATGGGCCAAATTTGGACATTAAAAAAAAATGAAAGTGAAATTCATTTTCAAAAAGTAATAGATAGAACTGCAGTGAAACTAGATAAGAGCTTGGGACGGATTTGTGTGATATTATATTAGTAGGCTACATGTACCTTATTATCTCTCGCACTAATCATTTCGGGGTATCTAAAAAAAAAAAAATCGTACTGTTTAAAAGGGCACTCTATTACCATTGTTGATAGCATGCTACTAAACAACGGAGTGGTTGGTCCTGGTTTGAATCCTAGACTAGGTGTTCTTGAACTTCGATTGTTCCGGGAGAGAATTCAAGGCTCTCGGCCTACTAGCTCCGTCCTATCGGAGCTGGTACTTATACGGGGTGCCCACTACGGACGGGATCGGCCGATCGAGGCGATCGCCCGACTCGATCGCCTGAAACTGAAAACAAAAATGTTTGTCTTTGAGGCGATCGAGTCGGGCGATCGCTTCGATCGGCCGATCCCGTCCGTAGTGGGTACCCCGTATACTAGTAATGATTGTGGTGTTGAACCTATACACTTACCGTTACTTACTCTCTGAAAAAAGAAATGGCTTCTCCTTCATCCCTCCCTCCTCTCCCCTCCCCTTTCTGAAAAAAAATGAGTTTACTCGAGATATCTATGGTTTTGATTCTGTACGCAGGAAATTAATAAGTTTTCATGTTGATTATAAGATTACGTCTTTTTTTTTACCTTTCCGTGATCGAAAGGGTATTTCTGTTTTGGGTTTGCCACTTGGCTGAAAACTATAGGGAGCAAGGCAAAGAAATATTTGACTGGTTCAAAAGGAAAGCCACCGAGATGTCTGGATATGATTGTAAAAGAACTGATGGAATAGACAGTAATAAGATCACAAGTATAAAAAAAAAGATATACAGCATTTTAAAAGACCCATCACACCCCCTCTCCACATAGATTGTAAGATCACACAGCGGCAGATACGTACCACTTAGAACAAAGAAAGAAAGATACAACAAAAGTTTCTTACCGTCTAGTATAAGGCTTCTCTCGGAATAAACACCAACGTGTAAGCCTATTGCTGTTTAGAATATATACAGGTATCAATTAAACTTTAAAGGTTTTGTAATAAATTCCTGCATGTGGTCGAAAAGTGTATCTGATGTACGTTATTGTCAGTTTTCCTTTTCTTTTGTATTGAATTTTAGTGAGAGTAATATACAATTTAATTTGTATGTATACCTGCATGTCTTTTTACGGTCCTGTACTGCCAAGAAATATTGCCCTCTGGGACAACAAAGTGTTATACAAGTATTACCTGTAATATTAACATACTAACCAGATCATTCGCGGATTTTTTGGTGGTTTTTTTGTTGTTGTTTTTTTGTTTTTTTTTACAAAAACAAATAAGATTATCTATTATTTGTCATCACCATGACCTTTCTCACCCTGCACCAAGGCATAGACAACGGAAAACGCTTTCCACCTTTCTCTATCCTGGGATAGCCTCTTGACGTTATTCCATGTCTTCCCACTTTTCTGTACAACAATTTCTGCTGTTCTTCTCCAGGTTTCACGCAGCCTTTCTCTTGGTCTTTTACCCTGTGGATTCCAACCCAACACTTTTTTTGTAATGCAGTTGCCTGACTTCCTGAGAGTATGTCCAAACCATTGCCACCGCCTTCTTCCTACCTCGTCTCATCTATTGGTTGTATGCCTGCTAAACAGCCGGTCCCCTGGCAACCACGGGCCACAAGCTCTCCACGACCCCGGCACGGACACCCACCAGCCACTTATGTAGGTGGCTACACGCGTCACACTGACCTGGGATGAGCCACACCTTGTCTCCGATCTGGGGGAAATGTGTCAGTCAGTCAGTCAGTCAGTCAGTCAATCAACCAACCAACCAACCAATCAACTAACCAACCAACGAACCAATCAATCAATCAATCAAATAACCAATCTGCCATTCAGTCAGTCAGTCAGCCAATCACTCAGGATATTGATCAGTTCATCAATCTAAGGAAAAAAATCTGAAAAATACGAGATAAAAATCACAGATGTCCCTATTTTTAAACGGCATGAGAAAAAAAAAGTAGTATCTTTGAATATGTAGATCTATGCAGTCTTTGTTTATTAAGGTCATTCCAATAAACAAAGTTAAATTACAGTAGTTCTGTGTGTGTGGTGTAAAATATTAAACCTACAATGCTGTCATTTATTTCAATAACAGTTTCCTCTCACCTACAAACGCGTGTATAATTACCAATGTTCTAGAACCTTCACCAGAGAGTTACCTTGAGATCTCCACAAGGCCTCACGATCCCATGCTCTGCACTGGCTTTCACATATTTCAGCTCTTTGAAGTCTTTCAGCTGTGTGGAAAGAGGTAACTTTATTTATGGTCGGGTGGGGGAGGGGAGGGACAGTGTTAGGAGTGTAGAAGAGGAGAAGAAGAAGTAGTAGTAGTAGCAGCAGCAGCAG